CAAAGAAGAAGCCGAGGCCAATGACCCTAAGTGCCGATCAAACAAGAGCCAAGAAATAGAGGAGTGGTCTACCTCTGAGAAGCAAGAAGGCCGAAAGCGTCGCAATAATGGTAATGAGAATGAACCTGAAGCTTCGACTCTTAATCAGCCGGAAGTAAAGAAGCCAAGGCAAGAAAACGACGGAAGGCCTCAACCGTTCTAACGATACGACTCAACACCAACGACTACAAGGACTTGAGAGATGAAATTGAGAGACTCATCCGCGATGAACGACTCCAAGAATTCAGAACTAATAAGATTCAAAAGTTTGTTCATGCCACATCGGCTTATCTACGTTTATCCTTCAAATCCTCAAAGAGGTCGACCCTAAACATAACATGTTTGCCTAAAAACTAAGGTTTTAATTTGGCATGGGGGGCAAGAAGGGATCTACGGACCATGTTCAACAGCAAAAATAAGTTCAAAGAACTTACAACGCCGAGTCCTCTAAGGACAAAAGGCTAACAAGCATAGCTAATAGAGCCTTTAAGGAGGAGAGGCTAAAAAGAAAAAAAAGGGAAAAAAAATATTCGACTATTTGGCAGATCAAGACGCTCTCTAATGTTCGACGCTCTAGAGCTCCAGCACCTCTCTCACCCCCCTTCAATCTTCCCTCGTCCAGATACTTGACCTCAGCCTCTTTCACTTCTGTTAGCCTCCACTTGCGCTTTGACCTTCTCTAATTCCTCAAGAAGGTCTCATACTTCCCGCAATGCCTTATTCCTCTCCCTTGTGTTGGTCTTTGAGGTGAGTTTTTTCGCGTTGAGGATAGCCATCAGGATTGTCCTGATTTGGTCCATCTCATTGCTCTAACCCTTGACCTTGACTATGTCAATGAGGATGAGGGAGAGGATAAGAGCCTGTAAAAGTGAATAGGAGGACCTACTTAGAGTAGAGAGTACTAAGGGAAAACCAGGAAGGTCAGCTTGCAGAAGGAAATCCAAGAAGGTCGAGGCTTACATGTATCTGGTGAGAGACTCTTATGTTGGTGGTCGATGAGAGAAGAAATGTTGGCGTCGAGCATTCAGAACAATACGCAAACAACAAAAGGTAAGTTTCTTAGTTCGTATTCTTCTATTTCTAACCATTCTCATGTAGGTATCATTACGAGCTAGCGCGAAAGTATAAAAGAAAGGTGGTCTCTACGGGGCTAATGCAGGAAAACAAAGAGGAAATGAAACTTGATACAACAGTTGAAATTCAACTCTCGACTGCCACCTGCTAACATGGTCGACATTACTGCTCCACAACCTGAGAAACCAGCAATAATGATGGTATTGTTTGGGAAAAGTAACTGCTAAGCTTACCAATGAATGATTTCCTGACTTGCCATAGCTTGAAACATCACGACGTAATATTCCAAGCCGGGGGGCAATTGTTACACCATGGTCGACCATTCAAGCCACCCACTTTTGTCGTACGCGTGAAGAGTTCCAAAAGTCAGGACAAATCTCTGATGTCGAGAACTAATAGTTAGGGAGATATCTCTAGGTTGAGGAGCGCTCTTGGAGTCGAGAAGTGCTTAAGGTCCTCTCAAGGCCTTTGCGTCGTTGAAGTCGAGAAGTCTACTAAAAGCCCTTTGAAGCCTCTGCGTCGAGGAGTCAAGGTGTTGGAGTCGAGAAGTGCTTAAGGTCCTCTCAAGGCCTTTGCGTCGTTGAAGTCGAGAAGTCTACTAAAAGCCCTTTGAAGCCTCTGCGTCGAGGAGTCAGGAATTAGATCAGACCGGAAGCAGTCCAGTCAAATCCAGCCACGGTCTTGTCAACTCGAAGAGAGAAGTATTGATCCGACTGCTACTGCAGGAATCAGGAAATCAGGCGGCAGATAGGAAGGATCAGCCGTGTTTCCCGGAGCAGTCATCATGAAAACGCACCTACCCTCACGCGGATCGAGGGCAGAAGATGGCTTCTTCCTTGGGAACGGGGAATACGTATTCACATGTAAAGGCCTATAAATAGAACCAAGAAAACCGTGAGAGGGGGGGAGAGCCCATTTCATTGCAAAAGAAAGAGAGTTTGTAACCGGTTGAAAGATTAGTGCATGCACAAGTGGATTAGGCAAAGAATTATTGCTGAACCACTATAAAATTGTTGTCTCCTTTACATTATTTTTTAGTTTTTATCTTTGATTGAACCGTGAGTGTTTTTGGGAGAGGTAATTACGAGTTGTCGGAAAAACACCGTCAACACTTACCTAATTGTAAATCGTCATATCACGTTAGAATCATATTAGATTGAAAGAACATAATAATTTAACAGAAATTGCCTGAGATATTGTAGTTTAGAATTGTGTCCTACAAATAAGGTATCTTTTCATATTCTACCGTAGAATTCTCGCACTTTCAAACATTTGCAAAAAGGCTACACTTAGAAGTTAGATCTCATCAAAAAAAGTACTGTTGCGTCATCAAGTTAATTGCAAATTTGCCACTTGGGTAGTCTCTAAAGATCTTCATTAAGCTTGACTGAAGACAGACCTCCAATTAGGGTAGCCAGAAAATTGTTCAAACTCTAGGGATCACCATGTTATATATAAGAAATGAACACTTTTAGAAGCAGCATGAGATGTCACAATATGGAAATTTATCAAGAGAATATTATGTTGTGCTTTTGTTGCCTATTATGTTCACTTCATAGCCTATTGAAGCATGTTTTCCTTTCAGGTTTTCGAGTACTTTGCGTCGGTTTGAACACCTGCAGGAGAGGTTTTTATGACCCCTGCAGACTTGACGTGAGCAGTAGTATCTCTATTTCCTCCCTCTGAATCAAAACCGTGTCAGAGAAGAATTTTTGAGAGGGGAGCAGGTGCCTGGCGAGTGTCATTGTTCTCCTTCAAGATTTTTCATGCTTTTCGACACTAACAAGTAACAATGATGGACTCATATCCTTTGGAGAGTGAGTCTTGATTTCTCTATTAGATTATTACCATATGCATTGGAAACTTGTTTGTGATCCGAAACATGTTTACTTCGTGATACCAACAGCATATGCAGATTATTGAAACCTGAGACCTAAATGAATATGTTTTTGTTTTTTATTTCAGGTACATCTTTTTTGTTACACTACTCAGCATTCCTGAATCAAGTTTTTCAGTGGCATTTAAGATGTTTGACCTTGACAATAACGGGTAAGTAACTTTTTGTTTTGAAGCAAATTCATCTGGTTAGAAAATTATGTTTGCCTTGTTTCTTTCGGGAAATACTGATTTTCTTTATTTATTTATTTTTCATGCCATAAAATAGCACCGAGATAGATTTCTTCTATATGCTTTCAATTTTTTTTATTTCCTCACTAAATTTGTGTTTTTCTTTCTTTAATGTTTACTTCTTTAACAGAGAAAATAGATAAAGAGGAATTTGACAAAGTGATGGCTTTGATGAGAACTCAAAACAGACAGGGGGCAGAGTACAACGATGGGCAGCATCGGGGGGCAGAAAACAGCTTCTGTCGAAAATGGAGGCCTTCTTGTGCACTTCTTTGGCAACGATGGCAAGGCATGTCTTAGACATGAAAAATTTGTTCAATTCTTGAGGGACTTGCATAATGAAGTATGTAAAATCTCTCCCTCTCCCTTGGCCCAATTGTTTGCAAAAAGAAGAGTACTGGCCTACTATCTTGTTGGTCCTTTCATAACTTAACCTGCATATTTCCCATTAAATTGTACTTAAAACTACTTTGTATTGAAAATGTAGAGGTAATTTAATTACATGGGTTCTGCAATATGTTGCGTATAAAAATTCTTTGTTAAAATGAGCCTTGACAAAGTGTTGAACCTCTACCATATGCTTATTAGCACAAAAACTTTGCCAAATTCACTTGATCCTTGTTGAATTTAAGCGATTCTCTATTTTCACTATACCTTTTCACATTGATACTAGCATGTTTTTCTTCGTAAATATGTTTTTGTATTTCTTCTTTTCTACATGGGGATATTGAGATACATATATTTCAATTTTATAGATCTTGCAGCTGGAGTTCTCCCACTATGATCACAAGGCACAATATCATTGGTTGCATCGGCTGATATCAACAACATTAACAAGTTGCTCGACCGGGTAGACGAACTCAAAACCAAGCCGCATCTTGCAGGCATTCGAGGAATTTAAGGAATTCGAAGAGCTGCGCAAGAAGTTGGAGTCCTTCTCGCCGGCCATCTTTAGCTATGGAAAAGTCAACGGCGTGTTGACCAAAAATGATTTCCGAAGAGCTGCATCACAAGTAGTTACACTAGGCTCATAATTCGTTTTCAAAATTATTTTTATTTATTCCCCTACTAATTCTTTTATTTTACATTTAGGTATGCGGAGTCCATGTGGCAAATAATGTCTGTGGACACAATATTCTTATGTGTTTGATGCGAATCGTGATGGAAGTCCGAGTGTAAATGAATTTGTTAAGAGTTTTGCAGAGAAGGGAAAGTGAGAACTCTCAGGAAGGGTACAAAGGACTGATTTCTTTCTGGTTGAACTGTGCAACTAACTGCTCATCAGCTAAGCTACGTTTTTAATGTAAATGGCTCATTCATGACTATCATTTTGGGTTAGATACCATTATATATATTATGTAGGAAGGTTTACAGCACAAAAAAGGAAAAGAAAAAAAAAAAAAAAAAAAGGGAAAAAAAGTATAAATCCGATGTGTTTGGGATTGAACAAACTATTGGAGAATCTAACAATATGCATATGTATTGCTGATTTGACTGAGTTATTTACAGATTGATTTAGTCTCCATAAAACTTTCAAGGAGTTGGATTTTTACAAACTTGAGAGTTTGTTGTATGTTTTTTATTAGTAAAACCTTTAGGAGCATAGCTAATTTAAAATATACACAATTAGTCAATCCTAATAACTTATTTCTTTACATACCTAATTTACTTGTCAAAAAGGGGGCCCAAAAAAATTGGTTTCCAGAGAATCATACAGATTGAAGCAAACTGAAAAATACAGAGTACACAGTCAAATCAGCTAGCGAGAAACCTTGTTCTGTTACTTCTTCATTTGCCACTCTTCATTTGCTAGATAACAAAACTTAAGTACAAGTACAAGACAAATAAAGTAGACTGACTAATAGTATTTCTTATACTAAATCAGTAAATTGCTAAATTAGACAGACAATAACATCAGTTGCCTAAGGCCCAAACCTTCTTCGTGTCAGCTCTTCTTTTTTTACGTACATCAAAACTTGCATTCAAAATCACACACACACACGCATACCCAGTTGAAAGCAAAGCCTTTTAAAGACTAATCCAACAATAAAATTAGCCACAGTCAACTGAAAAGAAAGAAAAAAAAAAAAAGTTATAAAAATAGAGAGTGACGTAGTTAGATAATCCGGTCCACAGGGTATATGCATTCCCCGTCCCATCGCAGTAAAACTGACTCGAACCTTAAAAATATAATGCAGAGGGAAAACACTCATCTTCTCAGGCAAACCCGATTTAAATGCGCGGCAAGTGCATCCCTGACCTTCTCTCCACTCTCACTCATGTCTCCATCAAAAACAGGAAACTTCTCTTCTTCCTCTTCTTCTCCCTCTCTCAATGGCACCAAATATGCCTCCACATTAGGCTCACTACATTTCATAACAAAATTATGCAGCAAACAGCAAGTTACAACCACAAACGGCAATAACTCAACACACTCCTCCTTCCACTCCTTCGCCAGGAGTCGCCACCGCCTCCGTACTCTCCCGAACGCCATCCCAACCAGCCCGATCGCCCGTCTATGCGCCGCATTGAACGCCATTTCTTCCGAAATAAGGCCTCCATCTCCATCGCCTTCCTTTGGTTTCGCATAAGGCGTCAGAAGCCATGGCAATAGAGGAAAACAAGAATCCCCCAACACGTACTGACGAATCGATCTTCCATCGCTGAGCTCATAACAAGGCCCGCTCAACAAATCCCTAGCTTCCTCCACTCCCAAATAGAGCTTCGTCTGGTGCAAAATCGTCTCCGGTTTCAGATTGCTCGGCCAACCCGCCGAGACGTCGAGGAATCTCCCTTCGGAATCCACCAACGCTTGGGCTAATAGAGAGCCGTTTTGTCCCAAAATCTCGCCGGAGACTTTGAATCTCCCGAAGCCGAGGACGCCACAGCAATTCGGCAGCGAGAGCCAGCCGAAGTCGGTCCGGACCCTATCAGAGTCGGATCGGAGCTCGAAGAGGTGGCCCAATTTGAGATTGATGGAGTGGCAGACGGTGAAGAAGGCGCGGCAGGCGTCGGCGGAGGAGTCGAAGCCGAAGCGGCGGGCGAGGGACTTGTAGGGGGCGCCGTGGGCGAGGCGGAAGAGGGCAGCGGCGAGGACGTGGGTGGGGGCGACGGAAACGACGGCGGAGTCGAGGGAGGGGGTGAGGAGGCGGAGGAGGAGGGTGAAGGAGGGCTCCGACATGCGGAAGAAGTGGGCCCAGCGGGGGTCGGAGGCGGCGGCGGAGGATAGGAAGCGGCGGAACCAGCATTGGTCGGAGCGGGGGCGGAGGAGGAGGGAGGGTTGGGGGAGGGATTTGCGGAGGGAGAGGGCCGCGGAGGAGAGGAGGGATTCGAGGGCAAGGGTTTGGGGAGGGAGGAGGAGGAGGTCCTTGCGGGAGAGGAAGGAGTGGGCGGCGGAGATGGCGGTGGCCAGGAGGGAAGTCAGATCTTCATTGCCGTCTAGGTTGTTTTTGGCGGTGGATCTCTTTGCTCCTCCGCCGGCGGCGGCTGCGGCTGCGGCTGCGGCCATGGGAGTGGCGGAGGAGTTTTGGGTTTTAATTGAGGCGATGGCGTGTAGCCGTTGTTTGTGGGAGAACTGAGGAGGAAGTCATGCAGTTCGTGTTTTTAGTGGAAACACTAGTGATGTGCCCACGTGTTGCAACTAGTGGTGGAACTTTAGGCCAACTAGCAGGCCCGCTGCCGAATTTTTCAGCCTCGGCGGACAGGCCCATATGCCGGTCCATTCAAAGTTGAAATTTGGGCTCGGGTTCGGGCAACCCGAATTTGGTCACCACACCGGAGCCCGCCGTCGTGTAAAGTTGTCAACCGCTGTCCGCTGGAGTTTTTTTTTGAATTTTTCCGGCCAGCTCGAATGCCTGAATTGCTCAAAAAAGGGTCAAAATTCTGACCGTTAGTGCCCGACCCGAAAACCCAAATTTTGCACGAATGCCCGACATGCTTGAAAACCCGTCAAACGGCTAGTTTTTTGACCGTTACCGCCTGAACCCGACCCGCCGATTCCTAAAGTAGCCGTTGCACCCTGAATTTTTTGAAAAAAAATCAAATTTTTAACCCAAAATTTTTTCTATAAATACCCCAAATCCCACACACATTTTTCTTACTTAAACTCTCTCAATCTCTCTCAATTTCTCTCAATCTCTCAAATCTCTATCACAATTTTTCTAAAAACTATCACGTTATCCTAAAACTCTCTCTCTCAAATCGCTCTTATTTTTTTTTATAATAGATCATTTTGGTTATAGTAGTATTCCTGTTGATGCCCAACACAACGTGGAAGAAGGACAATTTCCCACTAATGAATTTGTTACGAATGAATCTACTAATCTGAGCCCTGGTGGACGTACTGTAGGTCGTGGTCGCAATTGTGGTGGGCGTGGAGAAGCGGCGAATGCCAGTGCGACTGCGTTTGCAAGTGTTGCAACCTCTAGGAGGAAATGCAAGCGCACATCGACAGTTTGGGATCACTTCGACATAATTGAGGAGATCAACAATGAAGGTAACACTAAACATATAGCTTAGTGTAAATATTGTTTATCTAAATTACAAGGTAACACTATTCACGGCACCACACACTTGAGAAGACACTCTGAAAAGTGTCTTCAAAAGCTTAGCCAATCCGCTGGATCCGAACTCTACCAAACACAATTATCTTTTGATCGCGTAACCAGTGGTCTAACCACTTGGAAATACGATCCGCAAGTAGATCGTATGAAAGTTACACGAATGATAGCTGCTTTAGATCAACAACTTAGTTTTATAGAGCATCCTAATTAGCAACGATATACTAAGGTTGTACATAATCCTAATGCACAGTTCACTTTAAAAACTACTCTTAGGAAAGATTTATTAAAATTATTTAAAAAATAAAAAGAAGCATTAATAAACATTTTACACTCGACTAGCGGGTGCGTTGTGTTAACGGTAAATATTTGGTCTGCCATTGTCAATAAAGATTATTTAGCTATAACCGGACATTACTTTAAAGGATTTGATTTAGATAAGAGAATATTAGGTTTTAAATGTGTTCTAGGATCACATATCGCAGATTTAATATATAATATAATTTTAAATGTAATTGATGAATTTAGATTAAGAGATAAAGTAATGGCTATAATATTAGATAATGCTAGTGCCAATACAAAAGCAATTGAGTTCTTTAAAAATGATTTAAGTTTATTCAGTGATGGTATTATTTTTCACCAACGTTGTACATATCACGTAATTAATTTAATTGTTAAATCCGGTTTAAAAGAAATGGGTAATCACATTAAAAAAATTAGATATAGTCTTGCATGGATTCAAGGTAGTAACCAAAGACAAGAAGATTGGTTTAGGTTCTTACAAGCATTAAATATACCTCCTAGAGCATTAACGTTAGATATGCCTATAAGTTGGAACTCAACTTACATAATGTTTCAACAATGCATCCCCTATAAGGATGCTATAACAAACTATATGTGTGCAAAAGTAGGAGTAGGACATATAGACACATATGATTGGCAAATTGCTGAAGTTTTGTATCAATTTTTAGGTAGGTTTCATGAAGTGACTCTAAAACTTAGTGGAACATATTACCCAATATCATCTTTAGCTTTATGAGAACTTTTACGAATTAATATTTTATTTAGCGAATATATGGAGGACCCAATCTTAGCAGTTCCTATCCATTCTATGAAAAAGAAATTTATAAAATATTGGTCTAAGTTGCCTTTTGTTGGTAACCGAATCGAATTCGGATGCGGAAGCGTGGCGGGGAGGCGGATCATATATAACAAAAATTTCATAAAACTTTTGAGATACTCTATAGATTATATTAATTTATGCACGAATAAATTAATCACATTAATTTATATATATCAAGAACTCAATCAGGAAAAATACCTGGAAGCCGACTCGGATGATAACTTGAGTTCTTTGTCCATGAACAGTCCTTGCTCCAAGCTTTGTGTTTAAAAAACCAAAGTCTTCCACGTCGATTCTTTGATTCCACGTAGACGTGTGTGTGGGCACACGTGAGACAAAACAGGTTTCAATAACACTCGAATTTCCACAAACACCAACGCATGCACGATGTGGAATTTTTGGGAGAAAAATTTTTTCTTCTCTTTTCCTTTGAGAAAATTCGGCCACCACTCAATTAGGGCTGAAAAATTGTTTCAAAAATTGTGTCCACAATTTTCTATCATTCTCATATTTAAAAAGTAGAAGTCAAACTTCAAAAAAAAAGAATAAAATCTCTATCTTCTATTTTGAATTTTGAACAAAAAATCTCATACACCTTATCTCTAATGTGGCCGGCCACCCTAGGGTTTTTCTCCCTTGTGTGTGGCGCCAATTCTGGATAGGAAAGGAAGAGAAATCATTCTTTATCCTGTAGTCCAATTTTAATTCAAATTCAAATT